TTTTTTTTCACTCTTCTGTAACGAAACTATGATCTATTCTAGCTTTTTTTTTTCCTTCCTTCGCAAGATTTGTATTTTGTTTGTTTTGAACAGGCTTAGTCTCGGTTGCTATCTCTCTTCTTGTTGTTGAGTTATTTTTGTTCTTTTTCATGATGTGTTCTTGTTTGTGAATGGGTATTTTCGATTTATGTGTGTCTTCTTAGTTTTGGGGGTTTTGTTGACTTTTAATATATTTTAGTTTTATTAAGTTTCAAATTATTGTTTCCAATTTCATTTAACGAAAAGATGGACTATTATTCTTGTATTTGACTTTTTTTTTTTCAATACAGTCATGGATGCGTGTCTTCTAAACGTGAATTGGGTGTTTACATATGGAGTTGAAAATCATCCTATAACTGTATATTAATGGAGCCAGAAGCGTTCGGAACTAAACCTACCGCTAGAAAGAAAACTAATTTATGCATGTTTGTTTTTTGCAATAATTATTATTTTTTTGGGATGCACATTGTTTGAGTTTAATCTACATCCAAGCATGTAAATATGGCATCCCAGATTCACATATATGTCCAAATAGTTTTTGAATATTTTTTTCCATTCTTTTTTCTATACTTATGATCAAATTTTCTTATTTGATTTTCAGTTTATAACGAGCCCTAACTAATTTCCCAAAGGGTACTGAGAAGCAGTTCAAAATTGGAGTTATGAAGAGTAGTTGTCAAAAAATTATGGGGGAATTTGAGGAGAAATAGAGTCCGGCAGCAGGTATTTTAATTTTCTTTTTGTCTTTATAAGCAATATGATTTTCCATATATTTTAAACTTTTTGTATCCATAAGTTAAAGAATTTTTTAAGACACGGATGTTGTATGAAAATAAAATGGAGATATGGACCTCTTTTTTGTATTTGTTGTGCAATGTGAAAAAGTAACGCAAAGTCATGTTGAAGTGGTCATTAGGGTTTAGAGTGTTGTGTATATATTTTTTTATTCCTTCAACTATTGTCGTCAATATGGGATTTTTTATTTAGTCTATGATTTTAGTTAATTTTTTTCTTTCTTTCACAAAATCAAACATAAAATGCTTAAGGTCTGTTCTTTTGATGATACTCTTTTTTTCTTTTCTTTTTTTTTTTCCCATTTTTTTGTTCGATCTTTGTAGAAGCCGAACTCAAGATACATAAAGTTATGTTCAAGGGGTGGTTAGGATTTGTGATGTTATATATATGTTTTTCGATTTTCTCATACATGGTGTTGAATACGAAATTTGTTGTTCAATCTACGATTTCTATTTATTTATTTATTTTCAATCTTTTGGTGTTTAGTTTTAGATTTTCCACTTTTTTCTTTGTTTTTATGAGATGAAGACTAAGGTGAAAAATGGTTTCCGAACTTATAAACTAGGATTTGTTGTGTTGTTTATGATGGATTCAATATGCTATTTTGTTAATTAGATGGGTTACATGAGTTTGGTTGAAGTATGTGCTTTTGTATTGAAGTGTGTGCTTTTAAGTGTGGAACTTTTTGATTTTCAACCATAGGTGTACTCCATCATTTATTTATTTTATGTACTTAAATTATGTTCATTTCATGTTTTTCTTGTGTCTTGGGTTCTAATTTATTACTTTTTTCCCGAGTTGTGTGAAACTCTAACAGCAGAACATAACATTAGCAATACAATTTAGGAGTGCTAAACACGGGTATGTCAACTTTATAATTGGTTTCTTCGAAAGTTACAATTTTAAAGATAAATGGTGATGTTTGCAGATTTTTATTTTTTATTTTTAAATTTTAGATTCTAATGTTCTGTATGTTTTAACTAAACATTGTGTCTTTATTATTTTAATTTATGTAGTGCTCTATATACATATTTTTTCTTGCAATGAGGCATTCAACGAATCGATTAAGGTTTGTTTAACAAACACTGAACATTGATTCCTTTGAACAGGTTTATGTATGAGCATTGTAAATATAGATGTAATTTGTGGGTTTCTTTATGTATGACTCTGACATGTAAATACCCTAAAAGATATTGGGTTGTGTTTGTCCAAGCATAAAATACAGTGTTATTTTTAATAATAGGTTTCTTTAGTAGTGTAGTTCTAGATTTGTATGCATCATGACGTGGGATTTTGTGGCTAATACTCCTTCAAATGTTTTTTTCTTCATATACATAAATGTAATCTAAAGCCAAATATGGTGTTCATATTATTATTTGTTAATTGATGTGGGTTTTTGTAACCTATGTTGGTAGATATAGATTTGGGTGGTTCTCAAGTTGATATATTTTTTGTAACTAATATCAATGGATGTTCATAATGATTTTTCGTATTTTTTTTTTAGATTGCGCAATCAATTTGAAGACCGACGATTTTTATTTCTTTCTTTTGTGTTTGACTTTCTCAGTGGCTCTGTTCGGATTGTATATTTATAGGTAGTTTATATTTTTCTATTTTTTGTGCATTTTGTTTTGGAGTTTTCAAATTTTCTTATTCATTAGCTAGAAACGTACAAAAATATATAGTAAATTGAAAGGCTTGAGAATGTGCGAGATGTGCGATATTTTTTTATATAGAGTCCGAGGAATGTGAAGCTGCATAATTAGCACATATGGCCTCTTTAGAAAAAAATACACATATCATTTTCGATATTTTGTTCCTCCAAACCTAAAGACCCTGTGGTGTCTTTATAATATATACTTTCTACATGTGGATGAGTCTTTGTTTGGCAGGGTTGTGATAATTTCAACCTTTTTACTTTATAATATGGAACCTTATTGGTTGGTAGACAGTGCATTCCTGCAATGTACTGACATGTGAATGTGATTGTTTTGATCATCATATTTTGAGTTGCCTGTTCCTTGTTCTAACATATGTATATAGTATTGCAATATAAAAGAAGAATTGTCATAGAGATTAAGCTCTAGACTTGGTTACTTTTGCATAATCCTTTTTGACTCTTGAAAAGATGCTCGCTCGTGATTCACTAATCCTTGATGTTTATTTTATTGCATGTATGAACATCTTTCATTTTTGTTGTATTGCATTGATGCCAATTTTGAACTAGATGATACCGTTTACAACTCTTTCGCTATAATAGTCATAAGTTAAAATATTCCTTCGTTGAGGTAGATTGGTCAGGTTTTAGTTTATCATAATCGCAGGTTCCAAATAGAGCTACTAGCCATTACCTTCTCGTCAGACTTGCAATTTCCCTGAACAAGTAAATTAAACTACTTTTTGCTTTTGTCATTTATTCAACGATGCAAGAAGTTTAATGTACAAAAGTTCATCCATTTCTCTTTGTGCTGTATGATCATTACTAGAGTCAAAATAAATAAATTTTATTCAAATGGAAATTAGAATTCTGCAATGAATATAAGTTATAAATTTTTGTCTCTTCACATACTTTACTTGAAAAAGTTCTCCTTTGACTGGAACATAATTTATGGTTTTGAATACATCATTCTTTCACTGTTGTTACCTCAAAATATTTAGCAACATTTACTTAAATTTGATGTAACTAATGTTTAACACAATAATATATATACACACACACACACATTTAAGTTTCATTTTGGAGTTTGTATGTATATATTCCTGTAATGAATTCTGTGTTTTGATATTATGGGATGCATTCGGCAAAGGAGGTGGAGCAGGATTAATAAAAAAAAAAAGTCATTGCAAAATCTATTTCCAACTTCAAACAAGGTAGAACTCACAAATTCGAAACATCTTGTTGCTGGGCTTTTGTTTGTATTAAACAGAAGACATGAATGTCGAAACATTTTGTGCTTGTGTAATTTTATATCCCTCTTGTGAAATTTTATTTCCACGGAATTTCAATGGTGGACGACGTACATACGTGAAAATTTTTGGTGCAGCCAATTCCTGCGACTGCAAAAGTCGATTTTCTATTGTACGTTATGAAGAGGATTTGGTTTTCTATGATTTCGTTTCGTTGAATATAGACTATCTCATGGTAGGATTCGGTTGCTTAATTTGATGGGATGCTTATGATGAATTAATAGTTATTTTATTTCATTTCATTGATTGTCTTAAGTATTGTTGAGCTAAAGAAGCTGTATAAAATGGAGTCATTGATTGTTTTAAGTATTCCCCTTATTACTGAGGTGTATGATACTGTGTCCTACATACTGTGACCGCTAACATTGTTTCGTTGAAATGACTTACACACATGTCCTTCACTGTCTTATATTGGGTCTCCATTTATGGTCACTTATTTGAATTTGTTTCCTATTTCTGGGAATAAGTACGCTAACTTGAATGGCTACAAATTCGTCGGTTGTTTTGATTTTTTCCGTATCTTCTACTTCTATGTTAGTAGTGATCATCATAGTGTTGCTAACTTTTCTCAACCCTCTTGCATGCGAATAATGTTTAGGGGAACAATTATTGATGTGTGTTTCTAATTTCGATGGTCTGATCATCGTCCGGACACGTCCAATATCCATTCTATTCCAAGCCTCCCATTTGTACATACCAGGTGAGGATTCTAACAGTTTCTTTAATTTTCAAGTGGGTTAGACATATGGTGTGTTTTTACATGTCACTTACGTTACAACCTATATGATGACATATGCATAAATACGATTGCCTATCTTTCCAGTTTCTAGCATGCATGTGTGTCTGTGTGCCTTCACACATCCAGAGGGTTTTACTTCTCAAACATACTTCTATGTGGCAGTACATGATATGTTGAACTTGCACCCCTTAGCATGCATTCCAACTCTTAGTGAACTGTCGACCTTGATACTCGACCTTCTGTTTTTCTCGACAGTTACCCTATCATCCCTGTTTGGACATCAACCGTCGATATCGATAGATCTGCACAGACAGTTTGTCGATACTGACGTTTGATCTCTGTACTTTTCGACAGTTTACTATTTCCATGCATGATGTCGCTTCATTATACCGTTAGATATTATACAACATTGTTTATGTTTATAATCTAATCCCCTGGGTTTTGTCAATGCACTTTGCAGGGCATATGGAGTTTGAATTCATGATTCTGGAAGATGCACGGTTGCGGGCCCACATTTTTCAACAAAGCAACCTGAAGTACGTTAAGACCGTGATGGACCATTTTGACGAGCGACAACGCGAGGACTTTCGCAACTCCCCCCTCGGGTATCTGGCTGAGGTTCCAGACATTCAATTCTCCGCCTAGCTAATCCTACAGCTAGTGTTCAGAAGCTTCCGCACTGAAAAGGTGAACGAGTTTTGGTTTAATGTGCAAGGCCACCTGATGAGATTCAATCTACAAGAGTAGCTCTTGTGACGAGGTTAAGATGCAGTCTATTCCCGGAGGGTGATGATTTCGATTAATTGATTGAGAGGAAGAGGTTGAAAGAGAGGTACTTTAAGTCCAATGACAAGATTTCTTTGGCACAACTACAATCTACTGTTGCCCGACCGTCGACGACCCTAGCTGATCGCTACAAGCTAGGGCTGGTTCTAATTGTTAAAGGAGTTTTCAATGCTTCGGATAATAATGTCGGTATCCATTTGTCAACACTATCAATTGTTGACGACCTGGACTTCTTTTTTGCCTACCCTTGGGGTAGAGTCGGATATAGGCTATTGTTGCACAGGTTCCAGGGTAGCTTCACAAGAAAATTACATGCACGGTGCACGGCTTCCCCATTACTATGCAGGTATGCACAGTTCGTAAATTATCCTAGCATGCATGATTTACCCGTCTGGTAACATTGTACGTACAATCTCAATAATTTGAATGTGTTTTTCTTGTTGCAACAGGTTTGGGCCTAGGAGGCAATTTCAGAGATTGGGGAACGCTTCGATCAGTGAGTCGGTGAACGAATGCCACGACTTCTTCACTTGTCCGCACGAAAATAGCCACAGTACCGTACATACGATGCATTTTTCAGGAATATACAGGTATAAATAGAACACGTGTTCATTTCTCCTTAAACATCTCGTGACAATCTCCTATGTTTTCATGTGATTATCATAACTTTATTTTGCAGCTGCATGTGTACGCCACGCTTCGATCCACCGATGCAGAGGTCGAGCAGCCATATTTCTCCACTCTCGTGACGTACGATGATCCCCTGATGCCTGTGCTCGATGACATTGCCAGGACTGTTCTTGCGTCGCAGTTTCGTTCATAGCACGTCGGTAGTGGAGTTGGTGGACAGTCGGGAAGGCAGGATTCGGACGATGGAGTGTTTAGTGAAGGAAGTGGTGACGGTGAGACATCTGGAGATGATGGGATGGGCAGTCAGGAAGTGATCGCGATGGCGATGATAGTGAGGAACATGATGGTGATGACAGTAAGGATACTGGTAAGTCTTCCACGTCTCCGGCGACACCGGTTTCTTCTCCAGTGCGAGGACCTATGACACAGACACGGCCAGTTGGAACATCTGCTTCTAGCTTGATCAGAGGAGAAGTGGAGGAGCTGCTACTGGACCAAAGAATCCTCTTTGAAATGCAACTTTGGACCGTGAAACTTGAAATTCAACAGTACGTGACGTCTGAATGCATAAGACTCCGAGAGTTCATTGTTGTCCTAGTGGCCCCACTTGTCCCTACCACTGCTCTGGGCTCGACGGGCGCCAATGTCGAGATCGATGTTTCAGGTAGTTCACCACAAGGTATGAATCTTACATGTGCATGAATGTTTTGTTTATCACACTTGACCATGGTCCAACCGTGCCCAACGTACTTATTTTTCACCTTTTGTTTCATGTTACAATTGGGATGTAGACGTACATGGACAAGACACGGAGCCGTTGCCCACTCCAATTGACATAGGAGTAGACACAGGACGTTCACAGCCTCTAGGTACGTGGGTTATTTACGAGCAAATTGAAACTTGTTATTGCCTAGACGTTGTATGATGCTTGAGTTGGGAGATGTAATGTACTCTCACTAGATCATTGTTGTTTTCCACAGACGGAGCATACAGTGCTCCATGCACAGACGACGAGGAACTGAACGTCTGCTAGGTATGTGGGTAGTTTATGTACAAATCGAAACATGTTATTTCATGGACTTTGCATGTTCCGAAACTTGACATAACAAATTTACTCATACTATTTTACTGTTGTTTTCAATAGATGGAGCAGACATTGCGTCATGTTCGGATGACGACCACGAGCCGTTGCCCACTCTAATTGACCATCCGCAAGGTATTGCGTCCATTACGAGTACTTTTTGCAATTTTATGTCATGGCATTTGCTTCCTTTGCAACTTCGTGGAACACTATGCATTTACATATGTGTTTTATTAATTAGATGGAGGTGCCACGGAGCCCTCACATGCTACCAAGGTCAGCGAAGCAGAGTTCGATGGTTGCAACATGACGGATGGTGAAGGTAAGTTCATTGCATGCGTTACTAGTGCGTATGATACATTTGCTTAGTGGACAGCCTTTCGGGTAACTCACTCGACCCATTCCATTTTCTCGTAGGTCTTGTAGCTGACGTACCTGTTCCCGCCTCTGTACCAGAAGTAAAAGGCAGAGTTCCTACGACGAGACGACTCTCTGTTCGGCTACGACGTCCCACTCCTTCTACAATGACTCCATACACAAGGGTGAGGGGGAAGAGAATAAAAAAGTAATTGTGAATGAAGTGCAGAGATGATAGGACGTTGGTATTTTTTTTTTATTTTGCCTTGTCATTGGAGGCGTGGAGATGGTGGACGATGTTGATGGAAACAATTATTCACTCGTTTTTATGTTTATTCTAACATTTACGCTTGAATTACTCTTGACATATGTGCTGGAATTTGAGGCGGGCCTAACATTTTGCATTGTCTGTGCATTATGACCATAATCCATGTCTAATTTTGATGACATTTTGTTCTACTGTTACAGGCCGAATAACTTAACCATGTGTTATATTACGTGAACATTACAAACGTAAGTTCATATGATAAGTGTTATTTGTCACACTCATACATTAACTAGCTTGATAATTTTCCTCTTGCAATGTTCAATCTCGTCTCTTCCCATCTATTGTAGTTTGTCTAATGTGTTTCTTCACTTTTGAAATACGTTCTTTGCATTCTTCTAACACTATGTTCTCATTGAAGTTAGCTTTTGAAACATGATCTCTGCATTCTTCTAATTTTTAAAGATGTCCAAGTTTCGACTTGGTTTCTATTTTAATTGTCATCACCACGCATTTAATTGTTTTCCTTGAGTGCTCTTCAGTTTTGAAAGATTTATTCCTGGCAGTACATTGCTAACTAACAACATGTTTGCGGTACGATTGAACTATTTGCAATGCTAATTTTGGTTTAAAATAAATGTTATCTGTTATTTTTTTATAACATGATGCACATTTCTATTTGATTTTCCCTAGGGAATGTCATGTACATCGAAAACTTCTGCAATTGCGGGAAATTTGTTTCTTCATTTATGTCATTTCATTGGAGGATGACAGCTTATCAGGGTAACCCAATTTGTACTTAACACTCTTTTATGATGAATGTTCTATACTAAACGTACTTGTACTATAATTACAAAGTGTGGGCAGCCTAAATTTATCATAATGTTGTAACACATGCAATTCAATTATATCATTCTTCAGTCCACCAGGACGATGGTGGGTTATCGGGATTTGACTGTGTGACATTAGATAGTCGCCATTGTCATGTTAGAAATTTCTCGTAAGAGTAGAATTACATGCAATTCAAAGATAATTTTGTTTCAAATTTGTAATTCGGGGCATATTTTATAACATATGTTGTAGAGATATGAGCTTCTACAGATGAAGGTTGGGTATGGACAACGAGACTTTGGTGCACTTCCATGAGAAGCGACGAATAGTGACACAGCGTGGAACGTGTTGCACAGGCATATATTCTGTCAACAATCCGCAGGGATGAATTTGTTATTTTTTCGTACTGTGTAATAATAAATTACTAGTTCAAATATTTTATGTGGCATTTATTCGAAACTATTAAGTGTATTTGAAATTTATGTACAACAACCCTCCATTTGCAATGAAACCACTTGGATTGCACTACTACGGCATACGTCAAGACTTCTTTCCAAATTTCTTGTTTGTATTTGTAACGTGCATGTGCCTTCAAAACCCTAAACATGGTTAACATCATAAGCCAATAAAAGTGCTCAAAGTACGACAACCATGGTGCAACTAGTTGACAACGAAGTTAATGTCTATTTCGTTTTTGTTTCATTTGTCGTGTAACATGTGCGTGAAGATGATGCCCCATTTTTGTGAGACGCTACAATTACAGTCGTGGTACAAATACTAGATTTTTTTTCACAAACATATTTCAGCTGTAGGAATCCAGATTTAGTGAATTGTACAAAGAGAATAAAGAGTTTTAAATGTCTTACTAATTATGGAGAAATGGGGGATAAAGGTACTCTAAATTTATTGAACTATCACACCAATTACTTTTCAAATGTACAAGGAGATTGAACTTGGTGGTTGGGTAGATGATGACCATAATTGCTTCCCCCCTTCAAGTTGCTTATAAATACAGTGAGACTACATTGTCAACTCCTAGACAACTTAGTTGAATAGCATTGTGAGAATTTCTGCCTATCACAAGAAAATTTCGTTTCATCCACACTTTACTGCATCAACATAATGAGTTCGTTCGCTGGAAGCATCGAACCGTTGAACATGGACAAGCCGTTCTCGATTCTCAGTTTATCTCAGTTATTTCCAATCTACATTTCGTCAGACAATGAGGAAATTAACCCTCATATGGGTAGGAGAACCATTTCCCATATTCTCTTCCCTAACTTGAAAGATGTTGGGAGTGACGATGAGCAATCATAGAACGATGTGCTAAATGCAATGTTCGCAGACGACGCTGAATACGAGGTGCAATCTGACGACGACGAGGAGCTAGCATACGTGCCACAAAACGAGGTCATTATAATCTCGTCTGACGAGTCAAGTGAAGACAGCGGGGGAGAAAGTTCAGTAGTCGACGATGAGTGAAACGTCGGCCATTTAATGTAGTGAATATGTAGTGTATAGTCTAGTCTACTATATGGATGAATTTGGTTAACACAGAACTAAAATGTCTGCATGAATATGTCCCTGAGCTGTAATTCGAATAGTGTATTTTATGTAATCCAGTCTGACCGAACTGTCGAGAATTACAGATTCCTATCTGTCGAGAATGAAAAATTAACCGTTGGGCTGTAGATCTATATTTTGCACCACGTTCAGCGGATGTTATGAAATGGTGTCTATCATGAGCTGAATTGAGTCCACGGATTACGATGTTACAAATTATAATATATTCCGTGGGTATTGAAAATTACATTTTTAAATGGACAAAACAGGAAAGTGGTTTTGCGTCCTCCCTTCATGAATGTTGAACGACCATAGAGTATGATTGGTTAATTGTACGTTGTCAAAGATATTGTGGAAAAACTTTTTACTTATGCTTATTCTGAATAATGTAAGCGGATAATGTGCACGCAAACACCGTTATTTGTGTTGATGTTAACAAATGGAGTTCATCATGAACGCAAATCGGTGAACTAATTACAACGTTGTAACTTACAATTCAATTGGCTGGGGATTGAAAATAGCAAATTAAATACTGTGTGAATCGTACAAGGTTTTGCTTACAACCTTCAAGTATTTTGAACGACTGTACAGTTGGAGGCTTAACTGTACGTCTTTGAAGACATTGTGTCGAACATGTTACAATTATGTTGTTTTTCATTCACAGAACCCACAGTTTACCATGTACGTGAAGCTGATCTTGAATATTGTGCACACTTTCATCAACTATCGAGAATGCAGAACATATCTGTCGGGATAGAAATTTCACATGTCGAGAAATTGCGTACATGCTGAACAGAATAGTAGAGTATGAAATTCATATGTGCACAAAAGGATGCCAAACGTCTAGAAATGATTATTATCACAAACTTTATAAGAGAACTTCATAATGTACAGTGCAGTACGGAACATTGAACATACAACTTCAATTACACTGAAAACCTTTAAGGAAGTTGTGATACATTGGGTTTGAACATGTTCTCCAATTATGACCAAGTTGAGCACAATGACTGCATTTCCTACTCCACCATACAGACTCATGTCTTGAACGCTTAAGTCAGGTCGGTCGTCTACCTGGAGGGCGATGTACGAGTGGTGGCAAAATAAGAGTAAATATAATTAAGCTCGGAACAACTCAGTCCACTTTACGTCCAGTAGGATATATAGCTTAACTATAGGCACCCCTCCAGTATTCAGATGTGTAATAAGGGGAGCAAAGGCCATATATAGACTTTCCTCTCAAGCAAGCAGCACAAGTTGTATGAACACATGGCATACGGTTTAGTTGGAACTCACGACACGTGCAGATGTCTTCGAAAAAGTAAACTATGTCCACGTCATTGGATATTCCAACCTGAGTTAAGTTGTTTGTCAACAAATGGGCTAGAAGCCTAGTTCCACTTTCGAATGTCATCCGCAACTCGTTCTCCATCCTCGACATCAATACGCTACTACTTTCAGTCGCATTTTTTGACGTTCGTAAAACCACTTTTGCATAGTACTCCGAATGTGTTCAACCAAGCAGGTTGTCGGTAAAGAACGGGCTTCTCTCAACATAAAGTTCAAAGACTCTGCGTTGTTGTTCGATAGTACTCGAGACCAAAATGAATAATCTGCACGCTCTAAGTACCCGTGCGCTCTTGCGCTCACCCTACGAATCTGTCTTATGAGTCTTTCAAAGTCCTCAACCTGATAAACTGTAGCATCTCGTTTGAATAGAAATATTGCACTTGCGTTGCTGTACCGCTGTATTAGATTCTTTTCAAAATGTCAGATACAACAACCATGCTGAGACAACGGGAACAACTGAGTAATAGCTTTTTCAATGCTCTTTTTCCTGTCTGAAACAAATTCGAGGTCTTCGGAGTCCCCTATAAGTTCTTTCAAGTTGGACATAAACCCTTCTAGGATTTATTGGTTTCAGCATCTACAATCCCTCATGCCAACGGATATATCTGTTTACTACCATCTTGGGCAGTTGCCACTAGAAATGTACCTTTGTATGGACCCTTCAAGTGAATGTCATCAACACAAATAACGGGTCTCAAGTACTGCATGTAAACACGAATGCTTGCACCGAAAGCTAGGAAGAAGTAATGAAACATATTTTGAGAATCAAGTTTGATGTGGGTTACTATCCCCGGGTTACTCTCTCCTACTACGTGGCAGTATGAAGATAATTTCTGGAAACTGGTTTTCGATGTACTGTTTAGCAAGTTAAGGTATGAAGCTTCCCCCTACGAGCTTTGTTGTAACTGATTTTCATACCGAACTCACGTTCCATATCACGTGCAATAGCGGTAGGGTCATACGATCGGTATGGAGTATCTAGTTTTTCCAAAATGTGCTCGACAATTACAGAACTAGTGACATGTCGATGTGCGTTACGATGAAAATCAAGGGAACATGTGTGCACGTTGATGAATTTGCGGATCATGAAGATTGCAGATTGCTTGATAGTAGAAGCACGTAGCATCCACTTGCAATCATCGTCCACACATACAATGGTTAACATTTTCATGCTTGACCTGCTCACCCGAAATTGGAGCTTCTCTTGCAAAGCAAGCACACGAATATTCGAGTACAACTGTTTCTTACTAAAAAATATTTGTTTTTAGCGAAAACGATGGCTGCAAAACACTCATCTGTGCGTGAACTTATGGAATGTGATGACATTGGTTGGTCAATGTCAGCAATAATAGCATCATCCGTATCATGTAACGAGTTGTCTAAGTGCTCAACGAATGCTGCATCCTTGATATGGTCAATCGGAGGTTCGGGTGCTTCGGTGTTCGACACTCTGTGCTGAAGATTGAGCTCACCATGTTGTAAATTTTGGGGACATTCCGTTTGGTCGAACAGATTCCCTGCACAATTTGCTTCTCTCATCATGTCAACACTCGGGAGCTCGATTTCCAAAATAGTGACGCAGAGTGTAGTTTTCTTATGAATAGATATGTACCAATTTAGGTCATCATCGTCGCGTATCTCTGCTGGAGGTATATTCAAATTCAGGACTTTGAACTTCAATTCGATCTCATTGCGGGCTTCAACAATACCAAGTTTGTTCTTCAACTGTAGCACAAGTTCTGCTACGGTAATGTTTCTCGGCGCTAAAATGGAAGTCATTTTGTCCCCTCTCTACTTCTATTCGTCATCCACGTAAACAAAGTTCCCCTCATGCGAGACGATGAATCTCAAATCCTGAGCCATACCCGAAATGTTGGGACTACAAAAGTGAGAATTCTGCACATTCATATGTCGAAGGATTTAATATCGTCAAATTGACGCATTAGAATACTGTGATCCATGTACTACCAAAAAGAGAAAGCTTTTCAGGTGTCAAAATCGACAATTGAATTCTCTGTACATCCCGACAGTTACTAAATGTCGAGTTCGACAATTAAAATGTCTAACCCGACGGTTTCAACGAAATTGCTTAACAGTTGAACTTCCACAAGTTTCGGGAAAACTAAAAATTATGTGTTCGACTATTTGAAGAATTTATTGCAAAACATTAATAGTGATAATCAATTCTCAACTATAATATCAACTGATCTTCCCACGCATAAGAAAGTATAACTCAATGTTTCATTAAATATGGAATCCTTCACATTTTGTTGAGAATATTGATATTTTTCTCTTTCTAAAATATACCAAAAATAAAACAGATCAATAAATAAGAGATTAAAAATGGACAATTAATTATGACCATATTCTATTGAACATTTAAAGTAGTCAAGTATGGCATGAAAAAATTTCTTTCCTACTACCTCACCTTTGAGATTGATAAATAGCTTTCCTTGTTGCCTTGCTGATGATGGAAGGGAGATAATGAAGAAGAAAAAGAAGAAGAAGCTAATTCAAGTCCTACATGTGTATGTGTGTGTATTTTGTACAAATTCCACCATTTTTTTAATCAAAAATTCATATTATACAATATAATATTCATTTCTTCAATGTTAACAATAAATAATCACATCACATCATTAATTGCATTCAAATCAAGCATTTATTGCTCCTAAAAATGTGTCAAAGGGTAAGATGGACATTTTATGGAGAAAAAGTGACATTTTTGGAAAAATTTTGTGCAAGACAAAATTTTTTGTACATTTTCAAATTTAATGACATTTATGTAAATTCTCCATAGATAAAATAGGAAAAAACCTAATTTATCCTCTAAACATATAGATCGAACTTGTGTAAATAGTAACGTTACTATCTTTTTTTATGTGTTGTATAGATACTTCTGAGAATGTTCCCTAGCAATTTGTCGAAATTTTATTATGAATGAAGAGGAAACTTGTGAATACTGATAGTATAAAATGGGACAAATCTATTTGACACATATTTTAGTTCAGGACTTTATTGGACTCCACCCCTTGTTAATAGAGTTAAGTTATTAAAAGAATGTAGCCTCTTATGAGGTGGTCGAGTTGGTGGAGTAGGTGAGCGCGAAGGTCTTTGGTCACGAGTTCGATTCTCCTTACCAACATTTTCTCGGTCGAACCTGTCGCACTGGGCTTGCCGAGTGCAGTTTACTTGACTAGTGTAGTTTGCAAATTATTGCTTCAGTACAAAGATTTATTCAGTGTGCACCCAAAGGGTAGCGGCTGAGGGTTCTTAATTAAAAAAAAAATTATTAAAAGAACGTTGCAATACTTTTAAGTTGTGTTTGGTTATAAATTTCTGTCGTACATCAAAAAGTAAACTGTATTGGTAAACATGCTAACATGATAATCTGCAAAACAAAAAGGAATTACAGTCTTCTCCTCTAATTCAAGATTTGGCACCGAAAGAGGGCCATAAGAATATTGCTGCCTTTCAACAATCTTTATTCCAAAGACAAAATAAGTCAACTATGGAAACTTCCTTCCACAAATCCACGTGTCAAGCAGCAGTCAAACCCAAACCTCATTATGGACGCGTGTATTCTATAGGTTAAATCTAAATCACACATCGACGGTCCACGTTGCATGAACCGTATATCCCGCATCTGTGACTTTAGCAGCAAAAACACAAGCTGCGTGGCACCCGTGCACCGTCCCACGTGTTTTCGTAAATTACTATAAATGCAGACTCCGTTATCCGTTCTGTAAAATTGTAAAAGAAAGGAATGTGCGAGTGAGGTGTAAAAATGGTGAGGCCTCAAGGAGGAGGAAAAAAAGAAAGACGTGACGGCATTAGTACCGGCCGGTTCAAGGGTGTGAGGATGAGGAAGTGGGGGAAGTGGGTGGCGGAGGTCCGCCAACCCAACAGCCGTGACAGGATTTGGTTAGGATCATACGAGACGGCGGAGGAGGCAGCGAGAGCATATGATGCTGCCATGTTTTGCTTGCGTGGTCCTACAGCGGTGATAAATTTTCCCGATGAACCCCCGGATATTCTTTCGGCTGGTGAATTGTCTCCGCCGCAGATACAGGTTGCTGCCTCGAGGCACGCGAGGAGAGTTTTGCCTGAGTCGACTGGGTTGGGAAGCAGTGCGGTGGAGTTGGAGTTGAAACAGCCAGCGACTAGAACTGGATTTTTTGGGGAGAGTGAAGATATGGGTTCTTCTTGTGATTTTTCAAGTGCTGATTGTTATTTGGCAGCGGAGGAGGGAGGCGGAGGAGGAGGAGGAGGAGGAGGTGGTGTTGGTGTTGAGGGAGAATATTTTGGGACACAAAACATGTGGAGTTTTTAATGGTATAACTAGGCAGTGCGCTCCATTGCCATCCCTCCAAAGAAATAAGAAAGTCACACTTATTGTAACTAATTAGTTCCACGTGTAGACCTTGTGTAGTAGAAACCTTGGAGTTTTTCCCTATTATTCTCATATTTTAATTGAGTGAATTTTTCATGCAAGATTATTAACCAATATCAATTTTGAGATTCGACCGATCTATTAAACCTATTATGCTTTAGAGCTTTTGAGTTCTTGTTTGGATTTTATTAAAAGCTCTCAAGATATGAATTATTATTTCATAATCTTGAAATCATTTCACTTGCAATAATTTTTCAGAGTTCAATTTCGTAGTATCTGTTACCTGTATTCTACTTGGGGTTTGTTTACCAATGGCATCTTCGGCGATGCTACAAAACTTGAAAGAAATGAAGTTGTACAAATATGTAAAGTAATTTATTTTAGTTACTCTTGAATATAGTGATTTTAACTTTACTTAAAAGTAACTTTAATTTTCTAAAGTTTATCTTATTCAAGAACTTCATTCGGGACACTGCTTTCTAGATTTACCCATATTGTATCATATCCTATAAAGAGTTATCATGTATTTTGTTTTTAAGGGTATCTATTTCTGTAAGGATATATAAATTGTTAAGTTCTAATCTTCCCTTAGAAATTTCAGGTATTCAATCGATGAAGGGACTGGTTTATAGATTTTCCCTTTTTTTTTCCTTTTGATTGATACATTCCTCTGCATCGAGTTGTTCCAGTCTCCAACAAGTTAGAGGACTTCTTGAATTTTATTGTCTTCTATAATTAAAACTGAGCTGGTACATATTTTTATCCCTTTGTCTCCAGATCATTGTTGGACAAAGCTTTTAAGAAACTCAATGGAATATTGATCGTTAAAATTCTTGTCTTTCAGTTCATAGTTTATAGTGCCAGCGGAGAAGTCACGAAATCTTTCAGGAAAAAGTTCTATATAAGCCACTAAGGCATTATGTATGATTCATTAAGTGTACCATATCGTAGTCAATGAGGAAACTACGTTTCTCTTGTTTCAATAAAATATAGTTCTAATCGAATAATAAAATTAAATATAATTTTTATCGAATAGCAAAATTACCGGAGGAGTTTTATATTAAATTGTGACTTGTCATGGATCAAAAAAGTCTTACAAAAACCCTTCAACAGATCACAAAGAGCGAAAGCCCCCATCAGAAAAACATACCTCCGGCAAGATTTGTATCCTTTATAGCATTCCACCTGATTTTCTCAGTTCATGTCACTTGTGGGAAAGCCCCCATCGGAAAGATATACCTCCGGCAAGATTTGGATCCTTTATAGCATTCATCCTTATTTTCTCAGTTCATGTCACTTGTGGGAGAAGAAGTTCCATCACGAAGACGTATACATATACAGGTATAATTTTGAGTGCTTCTCTGGTTATACAAATAGTACTCCTCTTGTGTTTCCTTTTTTACTTCTTTAGAATATAAACTTCATATGCAATAAGAGAAATATTTCCTATACTTTTACTAAATGTTCTAAAAGGCACGCCAAGAAGGATGTGCGGTGTAAACATCAAGCCAAGTGGCTTGGTGCTTAATTCAGCGGCCAACAGCAACGACCGCTAATGCGTGCCTAGGCATGATTATGCACGTCTAGGTGAGCGTTAAGCGCTAATGCATGCCTAAGCATGATTATATGTGCCTAGGTGAGCATTATTATGTTTGTTTCATTTCATTTTATTTTTATGTTTTACAGTTATTTTAAATTAAAACTCAAAGGCTGATTTCTTCACTTAATTTGCCCTAGATTCAAAATAGCAACTTAAAGTTTTGAACAAATGAAAACTCTCAAAATTTCCTATTTATTTACTTTTAGTATTTACATTTGAAATTTATCTTGTTGTTGGAAATTTTGAAAAAAATGTATAAAGTTCCTATAAATTTTCTTTTAGATGTTTGACATGTGTAATTTTTAATTTTTAATTATTAAATGATTTTTTGATTGATTAAAAATAAGAAAACACCTTTTTACTTCTTTTTTTTACGTCTATGCCTTAGCCTTCACGTATCGCTACCCATTACGCCTTTAGAACACTATTTCTATTGCATATTTGACAAGCAGTATTGGACTGTACATATCATTTTTTTCATGCCTCCTTGCTAAACATGTCAATACGGATGACAATGGGGTGGGTACCTGCTCTGTTACTCGTTTGTGGCGAGACGGGGCGGGGGCTATATTTAAGTTGGGAATATAAAGTTTATCGATATTAAATTATTTTATTTAAAGAATGTGTTGTTGAAATAAATTTGGAAAAAATATTTTCCACTTGTGTTGTGTCGAACAAATGCTTGGACCATGTTTGAGCCCCGTTATCAAAAAAATCAATTTTTTTCTCAAATTTATTTTTAATCATATATTTTCTCAATAAAATATATACACGTAAATTCAAAATTTTTCTCTACTTTGTATGCTATATCCAAAAAATCACTAATGTAAAACTCGTTATCTGACTCCAATTAAATTTTGTACAGAGGTGTCGGCCAAATAGTCCGACAGAAATCGTTAAAAACCTAATTATAATGCCATTTATAGGCCCCATTTGGGAGTGGTTTTTCACCTAAAAAAATTGATTTTTTTTATCATTATTTCACTATTTCAGCTGTAATTTTTGACTTCTTTTCTCATAGATGACCTCCACTTTTTTTCTAACGGTCAAAAAATCAATTCTCACCCTATATCAATTACACATTAATTTTAAGCATAATAGCCACACGCTTTTGGTGGACAGAATCGACAGATGTCTACTGCATGATAACGATTTCTCACCATCAACAGCGACTATACGCAATAATGAAAGTAAAATTAGTGGAATAAAAATTCGAAAAATTCATAAAATTGGAGGTATAAAAGACATTTTTAACATATCACGAGTTAATCCAATTTCTATGTTAATTTTGCTCGACTTCGTCCCACTATCATTTGATGTAATTTACTCGACTCCGACTACTTTTACTTGATTTAGTTGAGATGTGCATATGTTCATTTGAAAAATAAGTTGAGCTCAAATGCAATTAGATAACTCAATTTCGATTTACTTTTAGATCCAGTCACTCATTTTTATTGGTTATGTACGGGTTTCCCTTGGTATCGGTAAGTAATATCAACAATTGATATGTGGTGCAATCAAGTCACGCAACTTCGATTTGTAATTGTCCACGTCAATTTAACTAATGTTATATATTGACCTAGATGTTAAAACTAACGTATACCTTACCATTTATATCCACCTCAGTTAATAATGCCTATTGCCTATCTTGAATTATTATTTTAAAATAACCATATAAACTAAAAGCAACATTTTACATATCAGATATTCATTTTCAATCATACATTCTCTTAAAACAATAATTTACACGTAAACTCAAAATATTTTCATACTTTCTAACAACACTATCTCTAAAAGATCACTATACATAACTCCTTTTTTTTTTTTTTTTTTTTTTTTTTTTTTTTTTTTTTTTTTTTTTTTTATGAAAATTGGGCTCATATGGGATGGCAATCGGGCTCGCCGGCTCGAGCCGCCCGTGACTCTACTCGGGAAAAGCCCGAGCTCCATTTTGGGGACACGAGCTTTGCGCGAGCCGACCCATGAGCTCACGAGCTTTTAAAAAATAAATAAATAAAATTTGAGACTGCCTTGGCAACAAAACTACTGCCTTTTAAGGCAGCCAAGCTGCTGCAGCAGCTTAGGGAAGAAAAAAAAATAAAAAAAATTAGCCTGTTCAGCTCGGCCTGAAAAAAGCCTGAGGCCCGGTTCGAGCCCTCAAAAAAGCTCTGCCATTTTAACCGGGACGAACCCGAGCCGAAACTTTAGGCTCACGAGTCGGCTCGGCCTGACTCGTTTACATCTCTAGGCTCATACTTAATGTTTTCTGAGTCAAAGTTTGTTATATGTCCAATCAAATTTTGTACAAAAAGGTGTCGGCCAGATAGTCTAAAGAATGACAAAAAATCGTCAAATACCTAATTCTAATGCCATTTATATTAATTCCTCATTAATTTTGAACTTAATTGTCACACGCTTTTGGTGGACATAAGTCTATTGCATGATAACGATTTCTAACCGTCAACAGCGACTATACGCAATAGTGAAAGTAAAATTAGTGGAATAAAAATTTGAAAAATTCATTATAGAAAACGTTTTTAACATTTCATTTGAAAAATAAGCTGAGCTCATAGTTAATTAGGTGAAATCACATCATTCAATTTCGATTAATAGCTCATTTTTAATTGGACCTCTAATTGGGCTTATGTACGGGTTTCCTTTGGTGTCGGTATGCACAAAATTGGGACGATTCATATTGTAAATGAAGGGGAGAAGGAAGATGTGTTCATCAACCTCTAGCATAGGCTTTTCTTACCTTTTTGCAATGACTTTGGCTACGACAAGAGATTATCTTCATCACCAATAATTAAAGGTATGTCTAGCAATTGTCTTTGTTTATAGAGGTCGAACTTACGTTTATAATTATTGTGGTAAGTAATTCGCCCACCTTCAATTTGTAATTGTCCACGTTAATTTAACTAATGTTATATACTGACCTAGACGTTAAAGCTAGCATATACCTACCATATATATCCACGCCAGTTAATAATGCTTATTGCCTATCTGAAAATTATTTTTCTTAAAATAACCGTTTAAACTAAAAGCAACTTTTTACATGTCAAATATTCACTATTTTTAATGTCTAGATAAGCATATTTCAATAGTTGAATTGACAATTTAGAAAAATGTGATCGGATTTGTAACCGAATCGATGTTGGGAGAGTTGATTGAACTAAATCGAAGATGAATGACTAAATTTGTAAGCAAATCGAAGTTAGAGTGATGTGATTGCACCAAATTGAATAATAAGTGAACTAAATGTACCTCCCATCAAAGTTGGGTGACATGTAGTGCATTTAACTTTATAAATGCTGCATGTTGGTTAAGCTGGTCCTGAATTAAAATAAACTGAAGAAAGCATTTCGAGCTCAGTTGAGTATGCTTATTTATTTATGAATTATGTTGAATTGATGTACTAGAGATGAGTTGGTTAAACATCGTAAAGTGTATAATTTAAGCCCTTGTTCATTATTGACTAAAATTAATATTTCAATTTAAGTTAAAGTCAACAATTAATTTTAATTTTTAAACACATATTTCAAGGAACCCACAATATTTTAACTACACATTTCATCAACTTTTATCAAAACGTACTAAAAATATAATTTTAATCCCTCACCAAAGATGGGTTTATCAACTCGACTCAATCAAAATATGTTCAAAACTATTTAAAAAAATTTATTTGTCAACTAAGTACACATTTGGTAATCTAACATTGTGCATAAGAGAAATATTATCATCGAATGCTTTATGTGTATGCTAGATGTTTGGACTTTACCAAACTCCCGCATAACACTTCTATTCGAGTGTAGCTCAAATTCCATCGTTCAAAAAATTTATCACATGACCAATTTTATTCAACTTTAGCACTTCTACTTGAGGGGCTCGAACTACTTTTTCTAATATACTTTAAAGTGGATATATTCATTTGACTTAAAATATATTAGCACGTCGAGTTGCATGTGTTATTGGCACAATATTTAGATCGATCAAATTTACACAATTACTAGCACCTCAATTCAACTAGAAGTGAAATGATTTAACTTGTTTCGGTCGAACAAACCTACTCAGCCCTAAGTTCATAACTATTTCTGCTCTTATCTTAAATTTTTCAAGAATAAATATCGAAAGATTTGGATGTCTACAAAAGGATAGGTTCTATCCTCACAATTTTACACGGGCCTACCAGAGCATGACATTGCATGCAGTGTCTATATGTACGAGTATTTGCATATCGGTTTCTAACCTATTGGCCAAGTGGTGAGTTAGTCTCGTACTTCGGAGATGACAAATTTGGTCCTTATTGTTTCATTATAGTTGAGTAATCAGTTCACAAATTTTCAAATATCAATCCAAGTGGAGCATCAAATTCTAACTTCATAAAGTTAAATATGCAAGGATCTAGGATCTGGTTCCAAAAACTTAGAATTATGGACTGAGAACCAACGAGGCCCTGGACGGTTCTTGGTTCTTTAACTGGAACCATGGATGGCCGATTTGGAATTTAATTTGGTTTTTTTTTTTTTTAAACATTTTATTCACCTTACTCAATGACTCGGCCCAACAAGCAGCAGGTTTGTATTGCCCGACTACTAAATACCATTAATTATATTTTGAATAATTGAATCATATTATTTTCATTCGTAGCAACTCCTAATCGTACTTTACAAGCATCTCACCCATAAACCATTCTTGAGACGTCGCAAACATGGCCCCAGCTGAAATTGGATGTTATTAGATATTAAATGCTATTTTGTGGGATATTTACAGAAAATCAAGTTTTTTTTTTTTTTAAACATTTTATTCACCTTACTCAATGACTCGGCCCAACAAGCAGCAGGTTTGTATTGCCCGACTACTAAATACCATTAATTATATTTTGAATAATTGAATCATATTATTTTCATTCGTAGCAACTCCTAATCGTACTTTACAAGCATCTCACCCATAAACCATTCTTGAGACGTCGCAAACATGGCCCCAGCTGAAATTGGATGTTATTAGATATTAAATGCTATTTTGTGGGATATTTACAGAGAATCAAGAAAGTGTTGAAATATATGTTAGTAACATATTTTTTCTTTAATTTCTATTAGATATTGAGAAGAAAAATTAGGCTGTCGCTCATTATTTTTTTTAAAAATAAAATATTATGGATAGAACCAAAATCAAAGATTTCGAGTAATGATTCATTTCCAGTAATTACTACACCTGTATGATTTTATTTATTATATACCTAAAGTAAAATGAGTGAATCCAGATATTGTAATATCTGTACCGACTCTCTCGAACCCCAATCCTACAAGGATCAATTGACGATTTAGTATAGATTTGAACATTTCTCATCAATAAGAACTAATTGTACAACTAGACGACCCATAAACATGCTTCACTCTTTCTACTCTAACTCATCGTAAAGGAAATTTCGCTTCCTTAGTTCACTTCATTCTATAGGGAGAGCTCATTTTCTGTGAGAATTAAGAGCTTCAATCAAGCCACTAAATAAAATACGAGGATCAACTTGCACGCTTTTAAAATTTGATGACCAACTATAGATTTAGAAACCACTAGTATCCCCACCACCACACCCACTTTTATGTGTAAAGATAAAGAAAAGAGAGAGGCTGCATGTGTACATTTCACGAGGAGAATGGATCATTGAAGGTGACCCTTATCTAGCAGAAAGTATTTTGGAAACTACCCATTCCAAAATTCAAACATACCATGTGATTGCCAATAAAATAAATATATTCTCCCCCCTACCCTACTTTACCTACCCCACCCCAATCCATCAATTGATAATGGCCATAAGACAAGACGTGAACAATGTGACAATATAAAATCTTCTTTTATACAATATTAATAAGGGTGAGGATGTGAGTGGCCACCAAACATTTTCCTTCCCACTTGCCATCTCTTGATCCATGATTATTATTCATTTTGTAGCATAACATTTTATAATTATGTTATTTGTACAATCATATTTATCATTAACGATTGATAATGTTGGTGTTATCAAAATTTGGGTCACTGATTTAAAAAACAAATTTTGAAATGAATGTGATGTTGTCAAGAGTGAGTTGTCAACCAAAATTGTCAAACCAGATTATACATGTACCATGATTCAACCTTTTATAGTCATAAAATGTCTACATTATTTAAAATACTCAAAAGCTAGAGAACGCGTGATTGACTATACAATCTTAAACTATCTTATATAAAAGCTCAATGTATTAAATTGAAAACTAAACTTAAATGAATATCTTATCTTTAGAAGCTAAAATTTAAGCCTTTGATTGGCAAATTTTATAAATATGGTCAATATTCATTTTCAACTACATATTTTAATGAATCTACAGTACTATCTACTTATTTATTACTCATTTTTGTTTACTTATAAATTAAATTATTCATAAATCCTTCCCAAAGTGAGGTAATTGAGGGTACAAATTTAATATTATGAACATAATATCCTGCTTGGTTGAGCTTATAAGGTGTTTATAACTTAGTCAAATGTGATATTATGTTGAATTATTTCATCTAAATGTGAAGTTATTAACGAGAGACTATATGTATTCATTTAAGTTTTGCCTTCAACACACTCCTTTAGGTGTACATGTTGGGAATTGATTTAAACATGCACAGCGGAATTTAACAGATTTCAATTCCCATTCAGGATTCAGCTTTGTATTTAGATAAAAAACTGTGATGAGAAATATACCTTTTGTGTGATTTGCAAACTCTTTCGCGTTATTCCTTTCCAGCAGCTTGAATCTGCCTCCCACAGCTGTCCAATTGTGCAGCCTCCAATGAAATCCACACAGAGAGAAAACAGCAACTGCTAGGGTTTCTTTCTTGTGCTAGCAAGAATAATGAATGACTTAATGGACCTCAAACCCTAGCTGCATATATATATAAACCCAAATGGACCCGGCCCGGTCCGGTCCAATATTTAATTAATCCAATTAATCAAACCCGGTCCGTGAATTAATTAATCTAATTAATTAATTCGGGATTATAAATAAGAAAATCAATTAATTAATTTATCCAACGATTGTTAAATTAATCAATTAACAATTTGCAGTCTTCCAATTCTCTTTTGTGTGCGACCCATTAGGTTCCC